AATTCGCGTTTGCCAATTAATTATATGAAATTATTAAATAATTGAAAGGTACTTCTTCAAAGCAATAAGATATGATACATTTCGATGCGTCTAGCAAATGAGTTTGTTAACGAAATTGTTAATATAATCAAGTTACATATACCTTATTAATCTTGTTGTCCATTAAACAAATCTTAAGAGGCTAAGTTGATACACAGAGATGAGAAATTCTGATGTTGAGGGGGTTAGTATTTCCAATAAAAGATACTGTCTGGATGAAGAACGTGTGTGCTCAGCGGTTATCATTGTTTGCTACATCCGTAAAGAATATTATATTTTGTGTCACCCTCGCAAGGTCGGAGAAATCATATTTCTGCTGCATATTAAAGCATGTTGTAAAATCATTTCGAATACTATCGCAAATCCCACGGATTCACTATATACAAAATAGGAAGCTGTGTTTTCCCTCGCATTCAATTTTACTCTCTAGAAAAACCGAAAAGGCACCATGTAAGAACGTTGATCTATAGACAAACTGACTTTTCACCGTCTTCTCAGACTCATTATTCAACGTGATCTTTAATAGACCCACTATATATTCTACCATATATTGTGTTTATCATAACTTTGACAGAAATGACAAACATTTTTTATGAAAAAAAGAATGAGTTTCCAAGGAATAAAAATAATTCCACGCTTGTTGTAGTCTTATTGTTTGCCTTACAAAGATAGCAGAATATTTTTTTTTTTAGATATGAATTAAGATCACAATGGCTGAGATTGGTCATTAATCACGCAAGGTCAGTTTAAACATAATGGCGTATTATTGCATTTAATAAATGACAGATAAAAATCTGTAATCTGATAATCTAGCCTAGAGAACACCTATCGGGATCCGGAGTCTAGCACATCAACATGTAGCATTTCCTTTCACTTCTGTCATTCCATTGTATGGCTGCTGTATTCGAGGTCACATTCCGTCATTCTTTCTCTAGCTCAGGAAGTCTCGTGATGCCGTCACTGTTACAGGTGTATATTGGATTAAACTAGTTGGTACAGATAAGGTTTTGGTGTACCAGCAGACCTTGTAACCCCATATTACTACCATCAATCCTGATAGGTATCACATTACGGTATCTGATGTTGTATACCTGACGAATAGCCCCAAACAATGGTCTGTCCTTACCAGGTAGACGAAATAAATGAAATATTAAAATCATATCATCTTGAAATGTAGTTTGAATGTGTAAGGAATCCTTGAAGTTGTCATAATCAAATCGTAATGTGGAGCAGTATATAAAAATAAACTAGATAAGCTTGCCATAGAGATCAGAGACATCTGAAAACGGAAATTGAAATAAAAATGATATAAAAATGAACTTGAAATTCATGTAAACGACAGGCTTGTCACAAGTGTGAAGGTCTTGCACACATACGTCAATGCTTGTTATTCAATGACAAGACCTTCCTTCTACAGTAATATTATACAATATACCAGTACTAGGACCAAACAATAATACAATATACCAGTACTAGGACCAAAACAATAATACAATATACCAGTACTAGGACAAAACAATAATACAATATACCAGTACTAGGGACCAAACAACACAATATACCAGTACTAGGACCAAACTATAATACAATATACCAGTACTAGGGACCAAACAACACAATATACCAGTACTAGGACCAAACTATAATACAATATACCAGTACTAGGACCAAACAATAATACAATATACCAGTACTAGGGACCAAACAACACAATATACCAGTACTAGGACCAAACTATAATACAATATACCAGTACTAGGACCAAACAATAATACAATATACCAGTACTAGGGACCAAACAACACAATATACCAGTACTAGGACCAAACAATAATACAATATACCAGTAATAGGGACCAAAAAAAATAATACAATATACCAGTACTAGGACAAAACAATAATACAATATACCAGTACTAGGACAAAACAATAATACAATATACCAGTACTAGGACAAAACAATATTACAATATACCAGTACTAGGGACCAAAACAATAATACAATATACCAGTACTAGGACAAAACAATAATACAATATACCAGTACTAGGACAAAACAATAATACAATATACCAGTACTAGGGACCAAACAACACAATATACCAGTACTAGGACCAAACAATAATACAATATACCAGTACTAGGAACCAAAACAATAATACAATATACCAGTACTAGGACAAAACAATAATACAATATACCAGTACTAGGACCAAAACAATATTACAATATACCAGTACTAGGACCAAAACAATAATACAATATACCAGTACTAGGACAAAACAATAATACAATATACCAGTACTGGGACCAAAACAATATTACAATATACCAGTACTAGGACAAAACAATATTACAATATACCAGTATTAGGACAAAACAATATTACAATATACCAGTACTAGGGACCAAAACAATAATACAATATACCAGTACTAGGACCAAACAATAATACAATATACCAGTACTAGGACCAAAACAATATTACAATATACAAGTACTAGGACAAAACAATAATACAATATACCAGTACTAGGACCAAAACATTAATACAATATACCAGTACTAGGACAAAACAATACAATATACCAGTACTAGGACAAAACAATACAATATACCAGTACTAGGACAAAACAATATTACAATATACCAGTACTAGGACAAAACAATATTACAATATACCAGTACTAGGACAAAACAATAATACAATATACCAGTACTAGGACAAAACAATATTACAATATACCAGTACTAGGACAAAACAATATTACAATATACCAGTACTAGGACCAATATACCAGTACTAATATACCAGTACTAGGACAAAACAATACAATATACCAGTACTAGGACAAAACAATAACAATATACCAGTACAATATACAATATACAGTACTAGTACCAAACAATAATACAATATACCAGTACTAGGACCAAACAATAATACAATATACCAGTACTAGGACAAAACAATATTACAATATACCAGTACTAGGACAAAACAATATTACAATATACCAGTACTAGGACCAAAATATAATACAATATACCAGAACTACGACAAAACAATAATACAATATACCAGTACTAGGACCAAAACAATATTACAATATACCAGTACTAGGAGAAAACAATAATACAATATACCAGTACTGGGACAAAACAATATTACAATATACCAGTACTAGGACAAAACAATAATACAATATACCAGTACTAGGACCAAAACAATAATACAATATACCAGTACTAGGACAAAACAATAATACAATATATCAGTACTAGTGGGAGGGGTTTGCAGTATTTAGGTTCTTAAAATACAATAATGGAGCAAAGTTACAGTTTACATTTTTTTCTGCTAGAATATGTTCGCATTGATTTCCACATCTTAAAATTTTAAAATTACATAAAACATTATCCAACCTTAAAATATATTATTTGCAACTGTTACATACACACGAGAATCATAAATCAATAAAACTAGAGGAAATACAAACAACAGAAATATTACACGGAAATATCCGAATAAGTACAAGGAGAATGATAACTTGTGTTCCGGAAGAGTTAGCGTTTTCTGGTTCGTCGACAACACTCGCCATGTAAATCTTGGTCAGTCCAAGTAAGTAATGTCACGTTCTCCAACTTGAACACAGTTTATGATAACGGAAGCAACAGGCCAACTTACGAGCATCAAAAACGTCTAGCATCGCATCGCACAAAACAAATTAATACCGGATAGACTGTTTAATGTAAAGGAACCTTTAAAATATGACATTCCAAATTGGGTAACATAATAAATACATTGTCAATTTAGAAAGTTGTTTCTAGTTGACTACAATTTTGATGAAACGCCGAATCGCAGATAGATTGGTACGAAAAGTATTTGTTACACTGTTGACTCACACCTAACCTGGGAAAGGAGAAGAGAGGGACCAAGTTGTCAGCCAGCATTTCGAAACGTTTATATTCTTATTTCCACCTGTGTCATATCCTGTACAAGTGACGTTGCATCTGGGAAGATTGAACAATGGAACAGTCATGCATACTAACGAGGACGTACACATCTAATTACATATTGCACAAGGCAACATAAGTTTCCCGACAAGATCCTGTTGACGAAATCTCGATATTGGTAACACACTTTTGAACATCAAACCAAATCCGGCATGCGAATATCTTAGCTCGGAGAAACAAGTATCTAACTGTCTAGTAAAACGAAGAGTCCATAGTAGAAAAATAAAATACATTTATCATACAGGTTAGATGGAAAATTATCATTGTTGTTTTTTTCTGTAAAAATTGTCAAAGTAAACGACTGAAGTAGTAGGTTAGTCTGTTGTGTACTTAATTTCCAATTGTGTTGTGTTTCTACAATGGAAATCGTCAATAATTGTTCTGTAATTAAGTCAAGACATCACTGATGTATTCAAAAGTGCTATAGTGAAATTGAAGGACTAGACAAGGCTTCTGTCACTTGCTTTAAACAGTTCTTCGATAAATTCACCATCATAAAAACCTCCTGCCAACAGAAAAGCACTGATTGTTAGGAACAAGACTAGATAAAGGTTACATCTAGTTTCGAGACTGAGGAGATATGTTACGAGACTAAATATACTAGTGCCAGGTATATTCCGATTTGCAGGATTACATAGCAAGGAATGATGAACATATTAAGTGCCTTTTAGGAAACTTCAGACTTATCATACAAAATTACAAATGATTCCATTGCATTTGACGATAATTCAAAATCAAAATTAAAATGTCATTTTTGAGATGAATTCGTAAAGTGGAATGTTTTAATCACAATTCGAGATCTTTTCGTCATAATTTGAGATGATTCGTGGTAACGTAGAAATAATTTCGTTGTTATGTAAGATGATTTATCGTTATAATTTGAGATGATTCGTGGTAACGTAGAAATAATTTCGTTGTTATGTAAGATGATTTCGTCGTGATGTAAGATGATTTCGTCGTTATGTAGTATGTATTCGTCATTATGTGGTATGTATTCGTCGTTATGTAGTATGTATTCGTCGTTATGTAGCATGTATTCGTCGTTATGTAGTATGTATTCGTCGTTATGTAGCATGTATTCGTCGTTATGTAGTATGTATTCGTCATTATGTGGTATGTATTCGTCGTTATGTAGTATGTATTCATCATTATGTAGTATGTATTCATCGTTATGTGGTATGTATTCATCGTTATGTGGTATTTATTCATCGTTATGTAGTATGTATTCATCGTTATGTGGTATTTATTCATCGTTATGTGACATGTATTCATCGTTATGTGGTAGGTATTCATCGTTATGTAGTATGTATTCATCGTTATGTAGTATGTATTCATCGTTATGTGGTATTTATTCATCGTTATGTGGTATGTATTCATCGTTATGTGGTAGGTATTCATCGTTATGTAGTATGTATTCATTGTTATGTGACATGTATTCATCGTTATGTGGTAGGTATTCATCGTTATGTGGTAGGTATTCATCGTTATGTGGTATGTATTCATTGTTATGTGGTAGGTATTCATCGTTATGTGACATGTATTTGTCGTTATGTGGTAGGTATTCGTCGTTATGTGGTATGTATTCATCGTTATGTGACATGTATTCATCGTTATGTGGTAGGTATTCGTCGTTATGTGGTATGTATTCATCGTTATGTGGTAGGTATTCATCGTTATGTGGTAGGTATTCGTCGTTATGTGGTATGTATTCATCGTTATGTGGTAGGTATTCGTCGTTATGTGGTATGTATTCATCGTTATGTGGTAGGTATTCATCGTTATGTGGTAGGTATTCGTCGTTATGTGGTGGTATGTATTCATCGTTATGTGGTAGGTATTCGTCGTTATGTGACATGTATTTATCGTTATGTGGTATGTATTCATCGTTATGTGGTATGTATTCATCGTTATGTGACATGTATTCATCGTTATGTGGTATGTATTCGTCGTTATGTGGTGTGTATTCATCGTTATGTGGTAGGTATTCATCGTTATGTAGTATGTATTCATCGTTATGTGGTATGTATTCATCGTTATGTGGTATGTATTCATCGTTATGTGGTATGTATTCATCGTTATGTGACATGTATTCATCGTTATGTGGTATGTATTCATCGTTATGTGGTAGGTATTCGTCGTTATGTGGTGGTATGTATTCATCGTTATGTGGTAGGTATTCGTCGTTATGTGACATGTATTTATCGTTATGTGGTATGTATTCATCGTTATGTGGTATGTATTCATCGTTATGTGACATGTATTCATCGTTATGTGGTATGTATTCGTCGTTATGTGGTATGTATTCATCGTTATGTGGTAGGTATTCATCGTTATGTAGTATGTATTCATCGTTATGTGGTATGTATTCATCGTTATGTGGTATGTATTCATCGTTATGTGGTATGTATTCATCGTTATGTGACATGTATTCATCGTTATGTGGTAGGTATTCATCGTTATGTGGTATGTATTCATCGTTATGTGGTAGGTATTCATCGTTATGTGGTAGGTATTCATCGTTATGTATTCATTGTTATGTGGTAGGTATTCATCTTTATGTGACATGTATTTGTCGTTATGTGGTAGGTATTCGTCGTTATGTGGTATGTATTCATCGTTATGTGACATGTATTCATCGTTATGTGGTAGGTATTCGTCGTTATGTGGTATGTATTCATCGTTATGTGGTAGGTATTCATCGTTATGTGGTAGGTATTCATCGTTATGTGGTAGGTATTCGTCGTTATGTGGTATGTATTCATCGTTATGTGGTAGGTATTCATCGTTATGTGGTAGGTATTCGTCGTTATGTGGTGGTATGTATTCATCGTTATGTGGTAGGCATTCGTCGTTATGTGACATGTATTTATCGTTATGTGGTATGTATTCATCGTTATGTGGTATGTATTCATCGTTATGTGACATGTATTCATCGTTATGTGGTATGTATTCGTCGTTATGTGGTATGTATTCATCGTTATGTGGTAGGTATTCATCGTTATGTGGTATGTATTCATCGTTATGTGGTATGTATTCATCGTTATGTGGTAGGTTTTCATCGTTATGTGGTATGTATTCATCGTTATGTGGTAGGTATTCATCGTTATGTGGTATGTATTCATCGTTATGTGGTAGGTATTCGTCGTTATGTGGTATGTATTCATCGTTATGTGGTAGGTATTCATCGTTATGTGGTATGTATTCATCGTTATGTGGTATGTATTCATCGTTATGTGGTAGGTTTCCATCGTTATGTGGTATGTATTCATCGTTATGTGGTAGATATTCGTCGTTATGTGGTATGTATTCATCGTTATGTGGTAGGTATTCATCGTTATGTAGTATGTATTCATCGTTATGTGGTAGGTATTCGTCATTATGTGGTAGGTATTCATCGTTATGTGGTAGGTATTCGTCGTTATGTAGTATGTATTCGTCGTTATGTGACATGTATTCGGTGTTATGTGGTATGTATTTGTCGTTATGTGGTAGGTATTCATCGTTATGTGGTATGTATTCGTTGTTATGTGGAAGGTATTCATCGTTATGTGGTTTGTATTCATCGTTATGTGGTAGGTATTCATCGTTATGTGGTAGGTATTCATCGTTATGTGGTATGTATGTGGTATGTATTCGTCGTTATGTGGTAGGTATTCATCGTTATATGGTAGGTATTCATCGTTATGTGGTAGGTATTCATCGTTATGTGGTATGTATTCGTCGTTATGTGGTAGGTATTCATCGTTATGTGGTATGTATTCATCGTTATGTGGTAGGTATTCATCGTTATGTGATATGTATTTGTCGTAGTGTGGTATGTATTCATCGTTATGTGACATGTATTTGTCGTTATGTGGTATGTAATTGTCGTTATGTGGTATGTATTCGTCGTTATGTGGTAGGTATTTATCGTTAGGTGACATGTATTTGTCGTTATGTGACATGTATTCGGTGTTGTGTTGCATGTATTTATCGTTATGTGACATGTATTTGTCGTTATGTGGTAGGTATTCATCGTTATGTGACATGTATTCGGTGTTATGTGGCATGTATTTGTCGTTATGTGACATGTATTTGTCGTTATGTGGTATGTATTCACCGTTATGTGACATGTATTTGTCGTTATGTGGTAGATATTCATCGTTATGTGACATGTATTTGTCGTTATGTGGCATGTATTCGTCGTTATGTGGTATGTATTCATCGTTATGTGGTAGGTATTCATCGTTATGTGGTAGGTATTCATCGTTATGTGGTAGGTATTCATCGTTATGTGGTATGTATTCGTCGTTATGTGGTAGGTATTCATCGTTATGTGGTAGGTATTCATCGTTATGTGGTATGTATTCATCGTTATGTGGTAGGTATTCATCGTTATGTGGTAGGTATTCATCGTTATGTGACATGTATTTGTCGTTATGTGGTATGTAATTGTCGTTATGTGGTATGTATTCGTCGTTATGTGGTAGGTATTTATCGTTAGGTGACATGTATTTGTCGTTATGTGACATGTATTCGGTGTTGTGTGGCATGTATTTATCGTTATGTGACATGTATTTGTCGTTATGTGGTAGGTATTCATCGTTATGTGACATGTATTCGGTGTTATGTGGCATGTATTTGTCGTTATGTGACATGTATTTGTCGTTATGTGGTATGTATTCACCGTTATGTGACATGTATTTGTCGTTATGTGGTAGATATTCATCGTTATGTGACATGTATTTGTCGTTATGTGGCATGTATTCGTCGTTATGTGATATGTATTCATCGTTATGTGGCATGTATTTGTCGTTATGTGACATATATTTGTCGTTATGTGGTAGGTATTCATCGTTATGTGACATGTATTTGTCGTTATGTGGTAGGTATTCATCGTTATGTGACATGTATTCATCGTTATGTGACATGTATTTGTCGTTTTGTGGTAGGTATTCATCGTTATGTGACATGTATTTGTCGTTATGTGGCATGTATTTGTCGTTATGTGGTATGTATTCATCGTTATGTGGCATGTATTTGTCGTTATGTGACATGTATTTGTCGTTTTGTGGTAGGTATTCATCGTTATGTGGTATGTATTCATCGTTATGTGGCATGTATTTGTCGTTATGTGGCATGTATTTGTCGTTTTGTGGTAGGTATTCATCGTTATGTGACATGTATTTGTCGTTATGTGGCATGTATTCGTCGTTATGTGGTATGTATTCATCGTTATGTGGCATGTATTTGTCGTTATGTGGTAGGTATTCATCGTTATGTGACATGTATTCATCGTTATGTGGCATGTATTTGTCGTTATGTGGTAGGTATTCATCGTTATGTGACATGTATTTGTCGTTTTGTGGTAGGTATTCATCGTTATGTGACATGTATTTGTCGTTATGTGGCATGTATTCGTCGTTATGTGGTATGTATTCATCGTTATGTGGCATGTATTTGTCGTTATGTGACATGTATTTGTCGTTATGTGACATATATTTGTCGTTATGTGGTATGTTTTCGTTGTGATGTGGCATGTATTCGTCGTATTGGGAGATACATTTGTCGCTTTGAAATTTATTCTTTGTTGTGTGAAGGGTATTGGTTGTTGTGTGAGATGTTTATTGTTGCCGTTGTTAATTACGGAAGCAATTGTCTATCTTGAAACCGAATGTATTATCCTTTACAGCAAGCTCTCCCTGGAGGAAACACCGATTACCAGCATCTGAATATAAAAATGATAAAGCAAAAATTCAGTATTTTGTTCGTTTACAGATAAGATATATTATATTGTTAAGTCACGAGCGGAAGATTTATTTCATTTAAATCAATTTTAAAATTTTAATTTACATAGTTATCTTTTATGCGTTTCAATTAAAAAATACAGAAAAACAGTACATCATATTTTAGATAATTCAAGCACCAAACAATTTTTCTCGAATCGGATGTTTTTTTCACTTAAATTGAAATGGACAAAATTGACTATGGGAATATCTGTCGGTAACGTATACCAAAATATGTAGTATTTCAATTTAGATTGAGTTCGATAGGCAGTAAATGACAAGATTGTCAGTTATAGACAGGGGACACTCACTAAAAAGGTACTTAATGTCTCATGAGTCACAGTTCTACGTATATCTGTGTTGCCATTTCATTTAAAATTTAGTTTATCATATCACCATTTCACTCAAGTATATGAATTTTCCATTTGAGTTCAATCCAGATAGCGATCCTCTAGAATGTGATAGCATCCAGATTGGAGTGGTAAATAACATTTGAGAAATATAATTTTGTCATCTGCTGTGTCACAGGGCAGCATTCGCCATTGAGTTAGGAGATAAGTTGTAATGGTGTCCTTTAACATAAGATAAATGGACGCTACTCCACAATTTACCGATCCACCATGAGATAGTGATCATACAGTAACATCCTTTGACATTCCGCCCATATTTCTATCATTCCTTCTCACATATATCTGACGAGAAGATCGCCTCCATTTGGATACTTATAAAGCAACGGTATATGAATTGCCGCGTATCTTAAGTGTATTAATTACCATTTGGTCGACAGTACGTCTTGGCGAAGTGTCAACAACGCCACGCTCACTGTACTGTATCCCCCTAATAACCAAGCCGGCCGTGATACGAGTTTCACAAACAAAGCCGATTGATTATGCATAGTTGAAAGCTTAATTGTATCATCGTTTCTAGAAAGTTCTTGTTGTTAATATTGTGAAGTGCTTAAATCAACGTCCCGTGATATAAAGCCGTGACTAGATTCACATATATGTATAACATAAAATAAACATTATTATATATTTATAACATAAGATCAACATTATCGTATATTTATAACATCAAATAAACAAAGTAGAATATTTATCCTTTTATTTATAATACATCACATTATCGGTCTGTTATCCAACTAAGTCTCCCCTGTAATAATTTGGCGTTTATGTCAGTAATACTCTGGGGTATTTTCACTGCCTACGTCAGTAATAATTCAATTGTGATATCGTGATATGTATAAGGACGTTACGTTGAAGTACAAATGGGCGTAACAAAGTGTCTGTTTCAATATTGTTTTGTCTTTCACATTTTGACTTTAAAGCCTGTCAAAATGTAACGTTTTGGATTGGTTTGATACAACTTGTCTTTTTTCCTTATGAAATTTGATAACACTCGCCGAGGTTCGCAAAAATTTTTTTAAATGCTGTCGACAAATGAATTTAGTACAACATTAGAATGTCGAATAGAGAGTAACACGAACCTTAGCATCACTGACGAGCCCTAGCTCGGAACAGCTGTATGATGTAGCATCACTGACGAGCCGTAGCTCGGAACAGCTGTATGATGTAGCATCACTGACGAGCCGTAGCTCTGAACAGCTGTATGATGTAGCATCACTGACGAGCCGTAGCTCGGAACAGCGG